TTTTGTGTTTGTTTTCACCTGCATGTCTGACGAAGAGTGATCTGCTCTGCTCTTATTGAAGACAGATGTTTGGTTTAAATTGGACACACGCTGTTCTGTTTTGTGTAGAGCCAGGCTCCGTTCAATCCGTTTAATGTTCTGTTTCCTAACAACACACATCGCTTCACAGAATTTGAAGAGCGTCTCAGTTCAGCAGGTTTATGTTTCACCAGTTCACATTTCAACCAAATCACTGAAACGGTTAACTCATTCTAAGCTAATGGGAAGAGAGGCTACTTGAAAGGTAGCCAAGGATGATAAATGCTTTGTCATTATCCACTCCTCTTAATTCAGTCTTTTGAATTTGTTTGCAGTCATCTTGTTGACTGTTGACAGCAAGGTAAAACATGTTGCGAGGAGCACATTTTTGCTTTGAGTGCTCGGAAGCTTTCTGTAGCTTGTTACCACATAATTTTCCACAAAGATGCACCATGGTACGTGGTAGCATATTTCTTTCCTTTTTTGAAAGACCAATTGGACATTGCATATTTATTCATGCTAATTTGAGCGCCAGCCAGCACAATGTCTTTGTTGTGTCCATTCTCTCCCCTCATTTCCTCATTTATATTGAGCAAAACTTATTAGATCACTTTCACCAACCTTTCAGCATGGTTCATTGGTTTCTATTATAAACAGTGTCCATCATTTTAGAGGGGGGTGTTGTGGTTAGTGGAGAGCTTCAGGGCACCCTGTATGTAGCCTGGGAAGTCAAACCCAGGGCTAAAAGCTAAAGCTGATGTAAATAATCTTGAATTTCCCTCGGGATAAATAAAGTATCTATCTAATAAAAGATTTGAAAAGTATATATACAATATTCTATCTGAATGGGGCTTTGGTTTGCCGTGAAGTTCCCCTAACTGTTAGCATGACAGCTTCTCTTCAATGTGCATCAGCAGACGTTCTGACAAATACAGAATATATAACATATAACATCCACAAATACGAAAACAACATGTATAAGCAAAATGTTGCATTTTCATTTATTTTAAATATTTAAACCCCTTTATTGTTGAACATGCATTTTTAAAAAGCTAAATTTTCTGGTGGGACATGAGAAATGGTAGTCAGGTTGGCTTTCTGTGGGTGCAAATATTCCCCAGGCTTATCCAGAATTTTTAACGGATGAATATTTAATGTAACAGAAAAGAAGTACAGCCAGCAGGGCAGTAATGGCAGTAATAAATCACTGCTCTCGTGTAGGAATGAGTAAATTAATAATTGTTCTTGATATGAATAATAAGTAATAAGTCAAATACCTGTAGCACTAGATGTATTATATTTATACTGGGGGGAGTTGGGGGCGGATACCAACTTTATGGGTCTTTGGTATATTAATTTCTCACATGCTTGAGGTTCATTGGTTTGTGCTTTTTCCATACCTACAAATATAAGACATATATTATTCACTCCCCTGCCCAGCTAGTGTTCATCACCTGCAGAGTAGCTGACCCACATTAAACTCTATGGTCTCTAGGTGGGTGGTTTTTCCTTGCCCCCGTCGCC